GGAAAGGCTGGTGAGTTTGAACAGTTGGGCTCTATGGAGGTCAATATTGCAGCACTTACTTTACAGTGCCATCAGGATGCCTACAGACTCCTTTACCTGCATGCAAACTGATGAGCTCTTCGTTTATAGACCGTCCTGATGTCATGACTCCCAGCATAAGATCCTCTTCTATTCCAATAAAGGCCAAATCCTCAATATCATGCAGTTTATTTGATTTTAAATCTCACTGTTTTCTGCAAACATCTCAGTGCCTTTATCAATTCAGTGTATGGAGGAAACTTATCATTTCTAATGCCTATGCCTCTCAGATCCTAGGGGGTTACATGGGTAGCCTTCTTCTTTCCTCGTCTTCTTAACCCTTTCAAAACGGAATTATTTCCTGCTTTGAAATGTATGCCAAATCTATGTGTTTTCAGTAACAGAAGGCGTTTTGCATGATGTTTTAACTTGAGATAAAATGGATTTTTATACCATTAGTGGGATACTTATGCCCTAAGGATGTGGTTTGTTTTTCAGATTCCCAGAATTATATAGGCACACACCAGGTGACAAAAAACTCAACACCACATCCAGTACCATCAAATCAATTCTGAACAACTAGATGGGGCAGAGTAGAACTTCCCGATAGTATTTCCAAGGCTGTAAATCTTTCTGGAAGCAGACTGCCACATCAGTAGTTCAAACTGTTGACCTTTGGTTCACTATCTGGGCACTTTAACCATTGTGTCACTAAGGCTCCATCATCAGACACCAGCCTTCTCTAAAAGCAAGATAGCAGCTTTCCAGTAAATCCCAGGGGTGAAAAGTGTAAGTGAACATAAGTCCCACAGATCACAAAATGCTCTACAACTATTGTGCCAGGAGCTGGGGAGAGCAAAATGAACATGATATGCTCCCTAAGTGGACAGAGCTCAAGCGTATTAGAAGAGTCAATTTCCTCATGGATTCCTTAGGGAACCTGGCATGGGATATAGGAATAGAAATCAGATTATAAAGGTCAACGAAGGTGATTCCAAGAGCAATCAACATCTGAAGACCTTTCATGGAGAATAAGAAAAGATAGCTTAATGACAAAAAATAAATTGGAATTCAGTTTTATATAAAAGAAACATGTAAGCAAGGATTTGAAGTTTGGGAAACTTCTAGTAAGTTCACAATATCCTATGCAGAATAACTCAGTGGCAACTAGCAATAATCAGAGCTTACTTAGCATTTACTATAATAAAATTATTGAACCGGGGCTTGTAAAAAATAAAATTAAAAATATATACTAAAATAAAATTGTTGTTGTTGTGTTAGATATCCTCAAGTCAGTTCCAACTCATCGTAACCCTATACACAGCAGAATGGAGCATTATCCAATACTGCAGCATCCTTACCATTGTTTTGTTTAAGCCCACTGTTGTAGCCCCTCTGTTTAGCTATCTCATCAAAGGTCTTCCTCTTTTGTGCTGCCCTGTGCTTTACCAAGCATGATGTCCTTTTCCAAGGACTGATTCCTCCTGATAACATGTCCAAAGTACATGAGATAAACTCTCACTATCTTTATTTCTAGGAAAGTGTCACTATGTTCTTACAAGAAGTACAGCCAGGATGTTCCCTAGAAAGAGAGATTTGTTGACTTGGAAGTCAGATTTGTTTGTTCTTTTGGCATTCCATGGTGGTTCCAACATCATAATTCACATGCGTGAGTTCTTCGGTTTTCCTTATGCATTGTCCAGCTTTCATATGCATAGAAGGCAAATACCAGGGCTTGGCCAAGTGTACCTCCATCCTCAAAGTGATGACATCCTTGCCCGCCAGCACTTTAAAGAGATTTTCTGCACAGATTTGCCCAATGCTTGCTGTTTCCACGTGCTCATCACCACCCTAAAGGACAGGGTCGACCGACCCCCTGTGGCTTTAACAGGAGCAACAAGCCTGTTAAACCCATCAGTGGTTTCCAAATGCTAACCTTGAAGGTAACCACCCAACTAGAGGCCCACTCTGCCACCGAGGCTCCTAGAAGTCTGAATTAACTGAATGACGTTTGGTTCCAATCACGGCTCCCATGAGTGTTGATCCTGGAACCAAGCAAGACGAAATCCTTGACAACATCAATCTTTTGTCTGTTTATCATGATCCAATTGCAAAGATTTCAGTTTTCTTTCCATTGAGTCGCAAGCCATACATCTTCAGTGACGTCTGCTTTTCATCAGCAAGTGTTTCGAGCCCTCCTTATGTTCGGCAAACAAGCTTGTGTTCTCTGTATATCCCGAGTTTTTAATTAACCTTCCTCAAATCCTGATGCCATGTTCTTCTTCAGACAGTCAAGCTTCTCCGATTATTTGCTCAGTACTCAGATTGAATAAGCATGGTGAAAGGATACAACTTTGACCACTTTGTGGCTATTAACCATACAATATTCCCTCGATCCTTACAAATGACTGCCTCAGTCCACCCACAGGTTCCACATGAGCAACAGAATATGTTCCCACTCTTCTCAATTTTATCCATAATTTGTTATGATCCACAGACTATAATGAAGATTGACATCTTAGAATTGCTCTTCAATGTGTAAAAATATATGAAATAACACCCAGGTTGTAAAATTCCTTATTGTGTGCCCAAGATACTTGCTTCCCAAGACTGAAAGTGGCCAGTAGACATCGAGTATATCACATCCTTAGAAAATCTTTTTTCAAAATGAAAAAAAAGAAAATCCTTTTTTACTAGTTCAGACTTTACATTTGTACATATTCTTTAGAGCCCTGCAACATTTCCTTAGCATGGTTTATTAAAAATGTGTGTGTGTGTGTGTGTGTGTGTGTGTGTGTGTGTGAGAGAGAGAGAGAGAGAGAGAGAGAGAAGGATGTCTAAAGAGCTCATGGGTGAATTGCTATCACTCTCATCGTGCTCTAAGTTCTAAAACAGATTTTATCTGTTTTCTCTCGGCTATGTCATTGGTTTCTAGCACAAGGTCCACACATAAGAGATGCCTGACACGAGATGTTGATACTGCCACTCCTGTCATCATGTGCTTCTGTTGTGATTGTGATTGTGCCTACTAGAAGTTTTCTCTAACCAGCATGTAGGAATTACCTTTTGGTTTTGGTGGCATGGGAGTGGTGGTGGTTTTGGGGGGGGAGGTTGAAAGCTGTAACAGTTTGAGGTAGTCACTCTAGCCTGGTCAAATAAGAGGCCAGGGGTGACAGATGCATTTAGAATGCAACCAAATGCCGAGTAATAGGCTGACACTCAGAATAGGAGCTGTCAATTGCTGCTCTGGATGGAAAGAGAACTACGTTTTTTGTGTGTGTCCCTGACCCCGCCCATCCCCAAAGTCACTTGCTGGTGAAACACGGAGTTTCATAACTCATGGGATCCAATGGAAAATGAAAATTCAGATTCCCTTGTTCAAGAGTGATTAAGCGTATCAATATGATGACAGCAGATCATTGAAGTAAGTGCAGGACCCTGTGTGCTCATGAGTGGAGTGGAGTTCAATGTGATCATTTTGCGGAGAACTAACGCATATTTTGTTGGGTATTCGGTTTTTTTAGGCCAGCTCTTTGCCCTCCTTCGTTTAATGCTCAGGGATCCCCCAAGGTGGCCAGTTGTTCTAGCTAGCATTTAGCTAGCTTGCAAATATATACAGTGAATCAAAATAATCTAAGCATAAGCTTACCATTTTCTGATAGAAAAAGCAAGTTTGCATTAGTGGGGGCGGGGGAACCCAAACTTTAAAACATCTAGATGTATTCCTGTAATACTGCAGCATCCTTACAATTGTTGCTAAAACCCATTGTTATAGCCACTGTGTTCATCTATCTCATCAAAGATCTTTTGTGCTGCCCCTCTACTTTACCAAGCATGATTTCCTGCAGGAGGGAGCCCTAGTGGCATAGTGGGTTATGCTTTTGGACTGATCACCATAAGGTCAGCAGTTCAAACCCAGCAACGGTCCCACGGGAGAACAGTGAGGTTTTTTGCTCCTAGAACGATTGACCATCTCAGAAACCCACAGGGACAGGTCTACCGTGTATAGCATCAGGTGGCAGTGAGTTTTGAACACAGAGACGGCCTTTTCAAGAGAAACCGGGGTCATCTCTTCCTTTACCCAACAGGGCCTGGAAGTGCAGTGCCCTAAAGCAAATGACTAAGTTCCTCTTCTCCAAAGCCCCAGTTTCTTCATTTATAAAATGCTAGCTAGAACAACTGGCCACCTTCGGGGGTCCCTGAGCATTAAATGAAGGAGGGCAAAGAGCTGGCCTAAAAAACGAATGCCCAACAAAATATGCTTTAGTTCTCCGCAAAATGATCACATTGGACTCCACTTCAGGCCAGCTGGATGAGGGGAAGCGGAGGAGCCCTCCTGCCTGGCGCCTCCAGCTCTAGCTCGGCTCTCCTTCCCTGAACTCTGGCTGTGGCCTGGCTAAGTCCCTGTCCCTCTCAGAGGCGGGGTTTGCAGGGTTGGGGAATGAGGGAGTGGGAGCAGGTGGCTCCTCCTAGCCTGACCAATCACTGTTTTCCATGGTCATGGGTTTGGGGTCTGAAATGTCCTTCTTCTGAAAGAACCAGCCTGGCCTGGC